TCTCCTGCCTCAGCCTCCCAAGTAGCTGGGACCACAGGCGCCCACCACAACGCCTGGCTATTTTTTTTTTTTGGTTGCAGCCATCATTGTTGTTTGGCGGGCCTGGGCTGGATTTGAACTCGCCACCTTAGGTGTACGTGGCTGGCGCCTAAGCCACTTGAGCCACAGGCGCCGAGCCGGAAATGCACTTTTTTATTTTAGTTTTTAAGACTGAGTCTCACTCTGTTACCCTGGGTAGAGTGCATGGTATCATCATAGTTCACAGCAACCTCAAACACCTGGGCTCCAGTGATCCTCTTGCCTCAGCCTCCTGAGTAGCTGGGACCACAGGTGCCTACCAGCAATCCATTAGTTTTTTCTATTTTATTTTATTTTATTTTAGTACAGATGGGGTCTCACTCTTGCTCAGGCTGGTCGTGAACTCCTGACCTCAAGCAATATACCCGCCTCAGGCTCCTAGAGTGCTATACCTCTGCATCCAACCAAGAATGCCTTTTTCAGAGCTTTTGTGGCTCTTTCAGGGCAGCTCTGGGGACAATTTAAACCAAGTCTACTCTGGGAAGAGAGTTTCCTTTCTGGTAACTCTGTCTAGTCCTATTGGGGAGCAAGTGTTATCACCGGGTAGATAAAGAGAGAGCTAGACACACAATTCAAACTGAGCTTCTTATGTCTTTTAATATTAATAAAGGGAAATCACATCTGGAGGTGATGGTTCACATTTGTAATCCTAGCACTCTGGGATGCTGAGGCAGCAGAATTCCTTGATCTCAGGAGTTAGAGACCAGTCTGAGCAATAAAGAGACCCTGTCTCTACTAAAAAATAGAAAAATGAGCCAGATGTTCTGTTGTGCAAGGAGGCTGAGTCAAACTCCTAAACCCAAGAGTTTGAGGTTGCTGTGAGCTAAGCTCATGCCAGGGTACTCTAGACTCTAGCCTGGGGAAAAGGAGTAAGACTCTGTCTCAAAAAAAAAAGGCTCTGTGCCTGTAGCTCAGCAGCTAGGGTGTCAGCCACATACACTAGAGTTGGCCGGTTTGAACCTGGCCCAAGGCCTCCCAAACAACAATGACAACTACAACCAAAAAGTAGCAGGGCATTGTGGCAGGCGCCTGTAGTCCCAGCTACTTGGGAGGCCAAGGCAAGAGAATCTCTTAAGCCCAAGAGAGTTAGAGGTTGCTGTGAGCTGTGATGCAACAGCACTCTACTGAGGGTGATATAGGGAGACTTTGTCTCAAAAAAGAAAGAAAGGGGAAAAAAAGAAGGTTGAAAACGATGGCTTACCTTACACCTGTAGTCCTAGCACTTTGGGAGGCAGAGGTGGGTGGATTGCTTGAGTTTAGGAGTTAAAGACTAGCCTAAGCAAGAGTGAGACCCTGTCTCTACTAAAATAGAAAAACTAGTAGGGCATTGTGGTGGGCATCTGTAATCCCCACTACTGGAAAGGCTGAGGCAAGAGGATGATCTCTCAAGCCCAGGAGTTTGAGGTTGCTGTGAGATGTGAAGCCATAGCATTCTAGCCTGGGCAACATCTCAAAAAAAAAAAAAAAAATACAATGGAAATCATTCTGGGGTATGGTGGCTCACACCTGTAATCCTAGCACTCTGGGAAGCCAAAGCAGGTGGATTGCCTGAGCTCACAGGTTCGAGACTAGCCTGAGCAAGAGTGAGACTCCCTTCCCCCGCCCCAGTCTCTTTAAAAAAAATATATATATAGGGCAATGCCTGTGGCTCAAAGGGGTAGGGCACTGGCCCCATATGCTGGAAGGTGGTGGGTTCAAACTCAGCCCCGGCCAAAACTACAATAATATATATATATATATATATAGAGAGAGAGAGAGAGAGAGAGAGAGAAAGAGAGAGAGAGCGAGTGAGCGCACGCCAGGCATGGTGGTGGACATTTGTAGTCCCAGATACTTCAGAGGCTAAGGCAAGAGAATCACTTGAGCCCAAGAGTTTGAGGTTGCTATGAGCTATGATGCCATGGTACTCTACTGAAGGAGACAAAGTGAGACTCTGTCTCAAAAAAAAAAAGTCTCAAAAAAAAAAGTTATTCTGATTTTTTTTTTAACCAAAGCATAAGTGATGGGATTTAATGGGGACACATTTAGCAATGCTGCAACAAGTCATAGAACTTTCCTATCTTTGTAAACTCTCCCACATGATTGCTAATTATATTCAACCCACTGAACTTGCCAAGTAGGAGAAACAAGCATTTTGGTTTTTTTGAGACCGAGTTTCACTTTGTTGCCCTAGGTAGAGTGCCATGGCGTCACAGCTCACAGCAACCTCAAACCTTCCAGCTTAAATGATTCTCTTGCTTCAGCCTCCCAAGTAGCTGGGTCTATAGGCACCCACCACAAAGCCTGGCTATTTTTAGAGATGAGGTCTGGCTCTGGCTCAGGCTGGTCTCCAACCTGTGAGCTCAGGCTATCCACCCGCCTCCGCCTCCCAGAGTGCTGGGATTACATGCGTGAACCACCTTGCCTACCTGAAACAAGCATTATTATGGCCTCCTTTACAGGCTGAGAAAGAAAATTTACTTGCTCATGTTCTGTCTGATTCTGTAGTTGGGTCCTTAACTGCCCAGTTCTTTTTTTTTTTTTGAAACAGAGCCTCAAGCTGTCCCCCTTGGTAGAGTGCCGTGGCATAGCTCACAGCAACCTCCAACTCCTGGGCTCAAGCGAGTCTCCTGCCTCTGCCTCCCAAGTAGCTGGGAC